ATAAATATTTGGTATTTTAAACATGTTCTTTTGACTTCTTCCAGTGTTGTAATGAGCTGTCCTTCCTATTCTAGTCTTTGGAAGTTATTAAATCAGCTATTGATAGGAAAGAAACCTAGTTGAAATATACACAACACATATTGCAAAACAAAAAGAAACACATTAGAATAAGACCAAACAAACAGACAGAAGGAAAAGGTCCCAAGGAAAGGTGATAAAATAAATATAGATGCAGGCTTTTATTGGTTGGACGTTCTGGAATCTTATAAGAACAGAAAACCAGAAGATGTACACACACACACACACACACACACATACACAAACACATACCACACCCACAGTCATAGAGCTTGTAGTGTTGAAAAGAGAGAGAGAAAATGACAGAAAGAAGGGAATGAAAGAAGAAAGAAAGAATGAATGAAAGAAGGAAGGAAGGAAGGAAGGAAGGAAGGAAGGAAGGAAGGAAGGAAGGAAGGAAGGAAGAACAAAAGACATTATGAGGGTTGGAACCACCAACTTTCTTGGTGACCTATTTTACTGTTGAGCATGTACTCTGTCCTTAAGAGTAGTTTTTTTTCCCATTGAAATTCCTTTGGAGAAAAATAAATTTTCACTCAATAGTAGCTATTAATTAGAGATAGTGTCTTTGTTAGGGATGTGCTATGTGTTCATCTCTCCCTGCAGCTCTAGAGTTCCATCTGGTATAAATTGTTGAAGACCCTGTACATGCTGCCTCAGTCTCTGTAAGATCATATGTGCATTGATCCTTTAGTTCTGAGAAGGTCTTGTTTACTGATATCCTCTATTTCATCTGGCTCTTATACACTTTTTGCCTTCACTTCTCTAGGGTTACCTTAGCCCTGAAGGAAAGGATTTGATGGAGATATCCAGTTTAAGACAGAGTTTTTCAACTTCTCTCAATTTCTGCATACTGTCTAGCGGTGGAACTCTGCAATCATTCCCACCTGCTACGGAAAGAAGCTTCTCTGATGATGGCAAAGCATCAGATGCAGTAAGAGTCATTTTTATTGCTAAGTTCCTTAAGCAGATCATAACTATTTTGTTTCATCCTAGGTCCATGGGCTATCTAGTCCTAGGTCTTAGTCACCCAAGTGGACTCTACCTCATGAAAATGGATTAGATATTGGATGATTGCTCGACAAGTTTTGTGCCACTGTTGGACCAGTGTATCTCGCCGACAGGTCACTCTCACAGACTGAAGGATTTGTAGCTGGTTTGGTGGCATTCTTTATTCTTTGGTCACATGCAGAGAATCTGCGAGCACCATTAAGGGATGAAGGTTCTATGTAGGTACCAGATTAATATCTCCAACTTATGTAGATATTGTCTTCAGCTATAAGGCTTTGCTACCCATGGAGACCAAATTATAGTCTTGGCTGTAAGCTGGATTGTGATTGTTTGCAGGTTTCCATGGACACTTTTGGCCAACTGTTAAATGTTATCTAGTCCCAGTACTGGAAACTTTATTTAATGTAAAAGCATGTCCAGTTACGGATATTTGTCGCCCAGAATTTGGTTTTGACAATCTCATTTAGATCATATGTATACCAGCTTCTATTGAGTATCAATACTGTTCCATTATGAAGCCTTACATTTTGCTGTCTCTCCCCTGTATTCTCATTTCTGTCCTTCTCTTTCCTTCCCCTCACTATGTACTCTTCCAATTTCCCCATAGAATCACATCTATTACAAGTGGAAAGTGATTAAAACTATTATTGACTGAGATTAAGTTTAAATTTTTAAACATTGCATTAACCTCTGGATAGGAATTTCATAAACTATTACATTAAATTGTATTAAAAAGGCAATAGTACCTAAGTGGCCTATCAATGTAATTTCAAGGCAAGAAGTACAAATTTCTTTTGACAAATATTTATTTACTTATTTCTGTATATGTGCTTCTGACACATGTAATGCATATTTTTATATGAACTAAGTACTTGCTATGCAATACGTGTGGAAGTCAAACGACAGCCTCTTATGTTGGTCCTAGCTTTCCTCTTTGTTTGAAAAAGGATCTGTTGTGTTGTTTGTGACCTTACTTCTTATGTCCAGCTCATGACCGTATAGTCTTCTAGGAGATTCATTTGCCTGTCTCACTTTAGGTATAGTAGGATTACAGATGCTACACAGCATCTAGCCTTATATGAGTTGCAGGCATCTGAGTTCAGGTTTTTCAGGTTTGTATAACAAGTAATTTTACCAAATGAATCATTTATATTGTCCTATAACAGTCATGCATTTGTAAGAAATTTTTAATGTTATGAGATGATACAGACATAATTTTACTGTTCTTTGACATCAAAATGAAAATTATAATCGATTTAAAAACAATTTGTTTGAGGGTATGCTAAAACAGATAGTTGTGTATATTTTAAACTACCTTAGTAATTTGGATCATCTAGAAGTTCCTATGTCATTTTCATAGACAGATTAAGTTATACCTATCATAGTAGCATCTCAGCAGAATGCCAAATGCCGACAGAGAGCATCAATATGAATTTGACTGTGAAGCACGTTGAATGTGCTCTGAGGTTACCCACCACCAAGTGCCCGACAGCCCTTTGAGTTATATGTGTCCAGGCCTAATTTCTCAAGGCATAATTCTTCTGCCAAAGCTCCAGATGGAAGTCCATTTAATCATAATGTATCTTACAATTATTACAACTGACACTTTGACATTCCATTTTGGCCTGGAAGATTGACCCAGCTGTACAGTATATTATCTTTTCAACATATCTGCTCTAATTTGTGTGGCATGAAAAAAATAGCAACTCCAGATTCTTTGTCTCACTGGGTGCATGATAAATAACAGTCTAATCTCTGAGTCTTGCCATAAAAAGCAGGTACATCGATGACAGCAGTTTCAATCAAGCCCGTTACCACTTAGTCTCACAGCGATACTGGATTCTAGAAGAGATTTGGGATGGGGAGAGTTGTCAGATATGGAAGCTGAAGTTCTGCACTCAAGCGTGGGAACATGAATCATGAAGTTTAACCACCATCTGGGCTGACTTCTGGCTATGTTCACTACAGACACGCTTTGCTGTGAGCCAGGGTTTCATATCTGTCCTGCCATTCATCTGCTGATGCAACATCTATTTGGTCACCTTTAACTACCATGTTAACTAAATCACAGATTTATTCACTATAAAGAACAATGATAAAGTAATTCCCCTGCCTCTCCATGAGAACATGATATTAAAACAAGCAACAATAGCCGTAATAATGAAAAGACCTTTTCCTACAATATAAACCATTACCAGTCAGAAATTATGAAGCATATAAAATTATATCTTGCCACAGTGTCATAGACAGTGACAGAGGAAATATGATGGAGCCAGAGACAAATGCCTGTTTTAACTATGGCACAGAAAATAGCAGGGTTGAATTTAAAATGGTTGCCTGTGCACCTCACCTTCAGGCAGAATAACAAAGCAAATTATACGTGGGTCAAAGTTCCATTTTCTCAAGCACATTAAGAGAGAAACCAATCATCAGACATACAGAAATATTTGGGGACCTACATCACCAAACTTTTATTGGTTCTTTGTGAGTTTCACATCATGCACCCCAATCCTGCTCATCTCTCTAACCCCTCATATCTACCCTTCCCTCTTGCAACCTCCCGCATAAAATAAAACACATACACATACAAGCAAACAACCCTTCGAAAAATATCTCATCGTGAAAGTTGTACTATTTTAGTGTGTCCCACAGTTATATCTCTGTCGATACATCATCACTTGCAAATGTTCACTGCAATGAGTTCGATGTCTCGTTTTCTGTGACATCTTGAATCCAGGACTTCTCTGGTTATACTGTTTCTCTAGGTCGTGGAGATCCAGCAGCTTTGGATCAGCAGAACTGGCCATTTGATGTGTCTCACAAATTTTAGATGATGTAGATATTGGGGTGTGCCAACTCAAAGCCCTGGATCTAGGCGGGGGAAGTAGCTGAGCTGTTAAGCTAATCTTCTCTCACTTATCTCCACCAGTAAAGTAAGATCTCAAGCTCTGCTCAGGCTAGACCACCCAATAACTCCACCAGGAGGAGGCAGGCTCTGCTCCCCAACTCCCTTGCTCTCCATGCTCTTTGCCCACCAGCACCTATGCCTCCAGATACAGCTCCACTCTAAGCTGCCCAGTCAAGGCTTGGGACTCATTCTCCTAAGTGTTACATCCTGGAAGAGGGTGAGGCATAGCTCCAGTTTTCACAACCTTGGTGCTGGCTCACCAGTGCCTTTCCCATTGCCGTTGAGGACAGCTCTATTGTGTTTCCCAGGCGAGGTGCATGGCCCACTCTCAAAGTGCTACAGCCAGTGATGGGGGAGGGATAGCCCTCGAGCTCTCATGCCCTTGGGACTAACTCTCCCCAATATCATTATGTAGTAAGCGGGGAAGGGGAAAGGGCATCACCCTGCTCTTTATTTTCACTCTACAGCATGCAGCAGCCCATGAGGGGTTGAGTCAGTTCTGCACTGCCACTGGAAATCAACATGGTTCCAGGTTGCTGCCCAGAAAAAGAGTGTCCCATGCTCTCTAGTGGAAATATTATCCATAGAGATTGGCACCAACCTCTGTTGCTGCATATTCACAAACCCAGGTATTGCCTTCAGCGTGGGTCCAGTTGATGGACTGACTATTCACAACACTTTATTCCTCTCCACCCTAGAGTCTCCACTTCCATTCCTTTTCAAAACTGACCACATACTCTCAGATTGTGGCAGTCCCTACTGCAGGCTGGCCTCAAGGTTGTCAGGTCCTTGGGTGACAACTACTGCTGTAGGCTGTGCTCTACAACATTCTGTGCTGTAGGCTGTGGCTCTAAGCAGGTTTCTAAGGCCTGCCTGTGATGTGGGGTGGAAAGTAGGACTGTGGGTATCTTTCCTGATCCTCACGTCCTCGTTGCATGATGAAATATATGTCTCTGTCTCTCTTTCTCCTCTAAGGTGGCTTGACTTTGATTTGATTTGATTTTCGTGTGTCCTAGGCATAAATCCTTTGGCCAGCAAGCCAGACATCAAGCTAAGATGAACAAAGGACTGCCATCTACTATGCCCCTGACTGAATAAGAACATCACCATCAAGGTATCTATTTGCTCATTGCCAGGGAGGGTGTTTAAACCGTTCTTAATCTGTGCAAACATAATTGATTATCTCTAGCACATTTCAGCGTACATTCTAGTATCATCCTGTTTTCTCTTTTACCTTACTTCCCTCCCCCTTTATTTACACCCTCTTTCTATGCCTTACGCACTCCTGCTCCTGTATATTCTCCTGTTCACTCTCCTGTTTTTCTTTCCTTTCCTCTTTTTTCTTTTTTTTTTGTTTTTTTTCTTTCTTTTTTATTGGATGATTTATTTACATTTCCTATGTTGTCCCCTTACCCCATCCCCCACCACCCCCTCGGAACCCCCAATCCCCTCGCCCCTCCTCCTTCTTCTCTGTGGATGTAACCTCTATCTACACCCCCCCACTCCCACCTCCCCACCCTCAAAATTCCCACCCCCTGGGGCATCCAGCCTTCATGAGGTCAAGGTTCTCTTCTTCCACCTATGCCCAGCAGGGCCCTCCACTTTTACATATTCAGCTGAAGCCCTGGATCCCCCCCTAAGTGCTCCCAGGCTGGTGGTTTAGACCCTGGGAGCTGT